CCAGGGCACAGGCGGGGGTGCCCGCAGACCCCTCCTACTAACCTCCTGGAAGGCTGCTGGCAGTTTTTCCTCGTTTTCCACCACCTGCTCTTTTTAATAATTGTACATAAGCCGTGTATTTGTTTTACCTGCTTCTCTTCTAACCTGGTGGGCCCTGTAGTTCCTTCGCATTGTTAGATTTTTGCCTCCTTCCTGCAATAAACTCTTCCTAACTGAGAAAAACTTGGGGTGGGCAGAGGTTTCCGTGTCGTCATTTCTCAAAGGACGTGTGGTCAGAGGCCCGGGTTTCAGCAGGTGCCAGTGTCTGCTTTCATGAAGCCCCGGGGCCATGCGGGGGTGGAGGGATGGTGCTCGGGGAGGCAGGTGTGTTTTGGTCGGAGCTGATTTCTTACAGGTGCAGAAGCTCATGCAGCCGAAGCTCAAGGCTCGCCAGGGGTCACTGGCATGACCACTGTGGAGCCTACGGAGCGCCGGCAGGAAGGTGAGGCTTCGTGGAAATGGGGGGCCAGGACAGGTGCTCTCTCTCTCTCTCTCTCTCTCTCTCTCTCTCTCTCTCTCATTGTGCGGTCTCCTGTCTCTGCTTCTGGTGCATTTCGGCCCTGGCTTTTCCCTCTGTAATGTCTGCTCGCCTGTAGCTCAGGTCATGGCCCTGCACCTGCCCCCAGTGTTCAAGCCCGTACAACCCAGGCCCCGAAGCCATCTCGGTCGGCTCCAGATCTCATGTTCCGATTGCTGAAGGATGAGATGATCGTGCAGTGACTCATTCCAGGCTGGCGCTGCCCCTGGATGGAGAGGCTGGTTGCGAGGTACAGACGGGCTTCCTGGCCCGCAGCGGCAGCAGGTACCGGCTTCCATTAAAGCAGGAGGAGGGTGGTTTCCAAAAAGCTGTGATGGACGGCACTAGAATATACTGCTCATCTCTCTCCACAGTGTCCATTAAAATACGTTTGTTAATGGAGGGGAATGTAACATAAAGGAGGAGCAGGAAATGAAAACAGTGATGGGACGAGGCCTGTGTCCCTGATCTGACCCCGGAGCCTGACCCCGGCCCTTCAGCTGTGACGTCCAAAGACATTTGCAGAAGACTTAATAAGTGGCCAGGGCACTGCCAGTCACGGGTGGCAGGGGGAAGGAGCACTGTCTTTCTGGCACATGCTCCCGCCCTCTGTGCCACACTCAAGAGGCCAGGAACGTGATGGGCGTGGGGAAGGCCCATGGAAAGGAAGGAGCGTGAACCAGGTGTGGCAGGGCCGAGCGTGGCCTGGCAGGTCTATGGAATCATCTTTATCCCACCAACACCTAGAGCAGAGTGTGGTGTGGACAGAGCAGCCCAAGAACCTAGGTGATAGAACCCAGGTCATAGGATGGGCGGGAGGCAGCCTCGAAGCTGTGTTAAGTCCTGCCGATGCCAAGGCCTGTCCCGTTCGGAGGTCCCTGTCATCCAGATGCAAATCAAAGCCTGGGTGCGAGCGGCCATCTGAATAACGATCCTCAGTAATGGATCTGCCACCACAGGCACACTGGCCGCTCGCCCATGCATTTAGGAAACAGAATGCAAATTTAGTGCTGGGCTCCTCCACTCCCGCACAGGGAGCTGGCACATGCCTGTTTTATGTTCATTCCTTTACCGGAGCAGGTGATCAGCGCCTGACGAAATTGACCCTTGACCAGGGGTAGGAAAAGGGAAGCGCTGACCTGCCCAACCACCAGCCAGGCTCAGCAGCCCAGCCAAGAGTCAGGGAGTGTGTGTCTCCTTCCTAACGGTTGTGGAGATCTGGAAATATATGGACTAAAAGCATTTGGCAAAACTTGCCCAGAATATTTTCACGGGTAAGACCGCGGTATGTGAGTTAGGAGATCACAGAGACAGTTCAGAGCAGATGAACCATCTCGGAAAAAAGACTGCTGACCGACCATGTTGTCTCAGAGAAAGATTTCTGGAGCAGCTGCCATCCCATAGAAATATAACGGAAGCCACGTCATTTAACCTTTTCTGGTACCCGATTAAAAAACAAGAGTAAAGAAGAACAGGTGAAATGAATGGTAAAGTGTATTATTTTTAATGCAGTTCATCTAAATATGTCCAAAGTGTGATTTCAACATGTAGTCAATGCGAGAAACCATTGGGATATGTTACGTGTTTTTGGTACTAAGTCTTTGAAGTCGGTGTGTATTGACAGTGGCGGCACATCTCTGTGGCTTAGGCACCTTCAAGTCCTGGGAGCCACCTGTGGCCACGCCTGTTGCACTGGACAGTGCAGAGGCCGCAGCCCTTGTCTCTGTTCTTACTCGCTTTGTTTTTCGGCATCTAATGTGAGTGGTGATGCAGAGGGAATGCTTCCCCATCGCTTTAACGGGTGAACTGATGGTCAGTGACCTCAGCAGCTGGGAACACTGGTGCAGACCTGGGTGTGAGACCCAAGTGTGAGTCCTGTGTGCGATTACAGAACCGCCCAACGCCTCCAAGGGCACCTCTGCCTGGGAACGTCCTGGGCGTGGAGAACTGCAGGATCGCTGTTGCACTAGGTGCCGACAGAGCTGCTTAACTGTCAGTGTCATCGTAAACCGCACCCTGAGAAGTACATGCAGATGTGGGCAGTATTGGCCCAGTCCTCCTGGGTGTGGAGTTCTGCTCTGGGCCCTCGAGGTGTGCAGTGCAGGTCGAGGGTGGCCCGCGTGGTGAGGGCTGGAGACCTGGCAGCCGAGGACGGGTGTCAGTCAGGAAAACCGAGGCACCTCGCTCGGTGTCTGTGGCTATGAGACCTGCTCTGTAGCAGGGTGCAGACTTCTTTCGGTTGCTTGGGGTAGTGGCCCGAGGTTGGGAGGCAGGAGCATGAGGGGCCAGGGGTGAGTGCACAGTCAGAGGATGAGTCTGATCCCAGGGCAGCCCAGGGACAGACTTAGCTACGTTGTGAAGGAGTGATCCTCTACTTCTTGGAAATGCCTAGATGCTAAATAATCACCACCATGGAAGCTTTCCGTCCTCAGAGCATCTCATCCTGTCTCTGAGCCACACTGCAGCCCCGAGAGAGATGCTCACATCCCCGTTCACTAGATGCAGCAACGCCCAGGGTCAGGAAGCCCGCAGGCATGGGAGCTGGGATGGGCTCTCAGCTCCCAGGGCAGCTCATCTCACAGCTGGGCTGTCCCTCCTCAGTGGTTCTCAACCTTCTGGCCCTTTAAATACAGTTCCTCATGTTGTGACCCAGCCATAAAATTATTTTCGTTGCTACTTCATAACTGTAATGTTGCTACTGTTATGAATCATAATGTAAATATTTGATATGCAGGATGATCTTAGGCGACCCCTGTGAAAGGGTCGTTCGACCGCCAAAGGGGTCGCGACCCACAGGTTGAGAACCGCTGTCTTAGAGGGAGGCCGATGTGTGCCCCTTTGGAGGATCTTGCCCAGGGCATTTGAAAGGGCTGCGTGAAGATAAAACCTACAGCCTTGAACTCAGGTAGTAACTGTGGGGAGGAGTTACCACCACTGAATGGTGAGGGGAAGAAAGGGTTTATCTGGCACAGTAATAAGCACTTTTAACCGACATGCCCTCCCCAACATAAGCCCTTTCATTATGGGCGGAGCTGGGCACCAGAGGCCTGCCGTGGGGTTGGGCGAGCTGTGAGGACGGGGCACCTGTCTGTGCTGAGGCTGCAGTCAGGCCTGGAGAATGTCTTTCCACTGATCCAAGCCCAAAGCTGCAAAGCAGCCAGCTGCTTCCTGCCAGGTCTGGGGAAATCACAAGCCTTCCCAGCTGCCCCCAACTCTTGGGTTTGGCAAAGAAAAATATTCCTGAACCCGAGAGAGAAAAATAATTCATGTTTCTGGCATATGACTGCGGAGGTCTCAGAATTCACAGGCACGCTTGTAATGGCCGCCTTCCCGCGCCGAGCGCCTGGCTGTCTCGGGAAGATAGCTTGCCCAGAGGCCAAGCCACCCTGGGTTTCATTAGAGAGAAAAATGTGATGTCCCCTGGTGTGAGCAATCTGCATTTCTGGTTCACAGCAGCCAGGGCTGGCGGAGATGTGTCAGTGTCATTGATAGTGAGTGGCCTTGAGCTTTTTAAATAGTGATCTTATGATTCCGGGGAACCCGAGAAATGCATCATGGACCACACTTTCCACATCTAAGAAAATCCCAGAGAGGTTTTTCCTACTCATCTGAGAGGAAATGGAATTTTTTTTATTTTGCTGTTTTATTGACTTGCTACATATGGTCCTTTCCTTCCTTTAATAAGTTAGGACAGTGTGAGACTTCCCAGCTTCCCCTGCACTCACTTGCCATGCCACGGGGTTAACATCACACTGCATGCCATGAGGGAGGAGGGGAGCTGAGGAAGGAGGGAAGGAGGAAACGTCCTGTCCTCTGTGGGGGAGGCAGGAACAGCCCAGGAGAGGCCCTGGCCTGTGCTGA